TACTGCATTTATTTTCATTTTTAATTTATTTTTAATATATGGAAAAGGTTAATTTATGGAGCAAATATGTGGAGGAGGTTCTAAAGAGGTAAGAAGGTTTCGATGTACAAGTGGTGTTAATATAAAAATTGCTTATTTTTACGTTTAACATATATACGTTTTGTAGGAGTGCAATTTGGAAAACAATTAAGGAACAATTAAGTATTTAAGCAATTTAAATTGACAAAATATACAGAAAATATTTTAGGAAGAGAAGAAAGCTTCAATGTAAGGATAATATTAACAAAATACTTGCGGGTTTGCGTAGAAACTTTTGTTATTTTACATTGTATTTAGCGCAAGTCCGCGCTGCAGTCATCTCGCGCATGCGCAGTACCGTTCCTGACTCTCGTAGCGCTTCTATACTTACATTTCATTTTTCTTTTTTATTACAAGCTTATAATTAAGTCTCGAGTTAAAATATATAAAGACAGCAGTAGAAGGAAGGATATTTCAATGTATGGATCATATTAATAAAATACTTGCAGGTTTGCGTAGAAACTTTTGTTATTTTAAATTGTATTTGGCGCAGGTCCGCGCTGCAGTCATCTCGCGCATGCGCAGTACCGTTCCAGACTCCCGAAGTGTTTCTATTCATACTTTTTATTTTTTATTTTTATTACAAGCTTATAATTAAGTCTCCAATTAAAATGTATATAGAGACAGTAATAATAGAGGAAAGTTTCAATACACAAGTATAAATAAAAATTTGATTAATTGTACTTTTATATGAATATTAAGTCACATAATATTTTATATGAATACACGAGGTGAGAAGTGCAAAATATTTCGAAAGACCTGCATGAGTACATTGTGCGTCAAGATACGTTTGCGTTTTGCATTTAAGATACGAAAGAATGTGGGAGGTACACAAACTAAATACTGAATGGAAGTGTAAGTCATGTATGCATGTAATGTCCCCACATGTTGCTATACGTAAAAGTCCTACGTTTCAAGCGAAACGTAATCTTGGAAGCCTTTCACTCTAAGGGCAAGTTCGACGAAAAACCGAAGGTTTAATCGTCCGGTAATCGGCTACGAGGAAAAGACTAATCGAGATTCCACGAAAGTAAAGCGACGCGATACGCGCGCTTCCGCGTCGACTTATCTCGATGCACGCCGCGCGCATCCGCACCGATAACCCTTCTGTCCTTTCCGTTTAATTTCCAAGAAAAAATCGATTCGTCACGCATCGCTAAATCATTCCTGTAACGGAGAATTACCTGGCCAATTTTCCTGGTCCTATCGATTTAGATAGGGTTTACGAAACTGATCGTTGGCCAAGTTTCGGCCCATTCGTTTCGCACGATAACGATCGCGAATTATAGGATGGTTGATGAACTCTCGAAACCCGATACTGTAAACTTGCAAATTTTCGGAGTTCGATGTGTACTCTAAAGTTGCGCGTTATTATTACAGTAAAATGTTATGCGAGAAGTAAAAGTACACAGAGTTTCGGCCTTTTGTATTTGTTAATACAGTATTCTCTCCGTAAATGTTGAAAAGATCTCTACCGTAAATGTTAAAATTTTATCTTCACTACTGGGGGGATCCCCTCGAAATCAGTCAAGAAACACGATCAGTCGTTGAAACGACGAGGATCGAATATCGGTGAGACACATACGAGCAAAGGAAAGATTGCAACTTTCTTATTTCTTACTATTTTTTGACGCACCAGAGATGCAACCTTGACGCATCAATGACGCACTCATGACGCAGTGTTCACGAAATAAATATATGTATATATGGTAATCAACATATTCAGTAATAATTTTGATATAAAAGAATTTTCCATATATGACATAAAAGTGAATATAGCCATATAGCCATAAAAGTGAAATTGTCATAAATGGTACTTCGATGGTCAAGGATTGTAATGTGTGCTTGACTTTTTATCTCTACGAAAATCAATGTATATTTAAGAAAAAAGCACTTCAACAAGTAGTGTAATTTATTGTATCCTCGCGTTGAGGTATAATTATAAACGACGCAACCGTCCAGAAAATTGTAGGTTAAGGGCTTAAAACTCGTCGACAAAATCGACGCGGAAAATAACGAAGAGACGAGAGAAACGCAAATGAATCGAGACTTCTCGATATGGGGACAAGAGATCTGATCGTAGAGCAAATACTTGATCCCTCTTCGCTGACGTTCGTTTTAATAATGCAAAGCTCGTCGTTTCGAGTTCCCTTCGGTTCCGATTTACCGGTTTATTTCAGACCCGCTCGCTTTGATTTCCTTCGAATATTATACGAAGACGGAATCTTCTGTGAAGTTCGGAAAAACTTCGAAGTATAATTCCTTTTATGATCTACTTCTTAGGTCTTTACGGTCTTTAAGTAAGTATTAAGTAAGTATTGTAAGGGAATTGTAATTACTTTTGGTACAAAATGGAGTTCTTTTTTGGATGAAGTTTTCGATGAAGAAATTTCTGAAGTAAAGTGTTCTTTTTATGGTGAAAGTAGTGAGGGAATTAATCTGCAAAGATTTTGTGAAATTTAACTGATTTAATAGGAGAAAATATCGATATGTTACTGGGAAATATTAATTGAAAATTCTCTGGTGGATGGTTTAAAGTATTTGTCGGCCGCCATGTTTGTTCTCTCTGCGCATGCGCATTCACCGCGTCGCAATACCTGCGCGATTCGCTTACCTTGAATCAGAATTTCATTAATTTTATTATTACAAGCCTTGTATTAAACGAACTAGTAATCAACAAGTTCTCGAAATCGATTTCTTCGACTTTTCCAACCATATACCCTATAAAATATTCACAAGTACAGTATTCTCTCCGTAAATGTTAAAACTTCGGATCTCGATTGTAACATTTATGGAATAGGTACTACATTCTTTGTAGCGAGCCGAACATAGAAAAAGACAAAGAGGGACTGAGGTTCGACAAACGTGAAAGACTCGTGCGTGTTCTGTCTTTTAAATTCAAAAATCAAAATTCTTTATTTTTGCTTTTTCGTCAATGGAACTTTTACCATCTTTGTCTCGTTTTTCTGATTAAAATGACACCAAACGCGATATGATCACGATCGTAATTACTTATGTAGCAAGCCATAAAAGTTTCGGGCTTTCACACTTACGGCAAACTTTACATTTACGGCAGAGAATTCCTCCTAACGGCTTGCTATACAAGTAACTATGATTTTAATTATACCGTGTTTGGTAGCATTTTAATCAGAAAAACGAGACGAATACGATAATCAAAGCTTCATTCGCGAAAAGCAAAAATAAAGAATTTTGATTTTTGAATTTAAAAGACAGAACACGCACGAGTCTTTCACGTTTGTCGAACCTCAGTCCCTCTTTGTCTTTTTCTATGTTCGGCTCGCTACAAAGAATGTAGTACCTATTCCATAAATGTTACAATCGAGATCCGAAGTTTTAACATTTACGGAGAGAATACTGTACTTGTGAATATTTTATAGGGTATATGGTTGGAAAAGTCGAAGAAATCGATTTCGAGAACTTGTTGATTACTAGTTCGTTTAATACAAGGCTTGTAATAATAAAATTAATGAAATTCTGATTCAAGGTAAGCGAATCGCGCAGGTATTGCGACGCGGTGAATGCGCATGCGCAGAGAGAACAAACATGGCGGCCGACAAATACTTTAAACCATCCACCAGAGAATTTTCAATTAATATTTCCCAGTAACATATCGATATTTTCTCCTATTAAATCAGTTAAATTTCACAAAATCTTTGCAGATTAATTCCCTCACTACTTTCACCATAAAAAGAACACTTTACTTCAGAAATTTCTTCATCGAAAACTTCATCCAAAAAAGAACTCCATTTTGTACCAAAAGTAATTACAATTCCCTTACAATACTTACTTAATACTTACTTAAAGACCGTAAAGACCTAAGAAGTAGATCATAAAAGGAATTATACTTCGAAGTTTTTCCGAACTTCACAGAAGATTCCGTCTTCGTATAATATTCGAAGGAAATCAAAGCGAGCGGGTCTGAAATAAACCGGTAAATCGGAACCGAAGGGAACTCGAAACGACGAGCTTTGCATTATTAAAACGAACGTCAGCGAAGAGGGATCAAGTATTTGCTCTACGATCAGATCTCTTGTCCCCATATCGAGAAGTCTCGATTCATTTGCGTTTCTCTCGTCTCTTCGTTATTTTCCGCGTCGATTTTGTCGACGAGTTTTAAGCCCTTAACCTACAATTTTCTGGACGGTTGCGTCGTTTATAATTATACCTCAACGCGAGGATACAATAAATTACACTACTTGTTGAAGTGCTTTTTTCTTAAATATACATTGATTTTCGTAGAGATAAAAAGTCAAGCACACATTACAATCCTTGACCATCGAAGTACCATTTATGACAATTTCACTTTTATGGCTATATGGCTATATTCACTTTTATGTCATATATGGAAAATTCTTTTATATCAAAATTATTACTGAATATGTTGATTACCATATATACATATATTTATTTCGTGAACACTGCGTCATGAGTGCGTCATTGATGCGTCAAGGTTGCATCTCTGGTGCGTCAAGAGTGTGTCATGAGTACATCATTGGTGCGTCAAGGTTGCATCTCTGGTGCGTCAATAGTGTGTCACGAGTACATCATTGGCGCGTCAAGGGTGCGTCATGAGTGCGTTCCTGGTGCGTCACGAGTGCGTCAAGGGTGCATGAGTGCGTCACTGGTAGGTCAAGGGTGCGTCATGAGTACATTCTTGGTGTGTCAAGGGTACGTCATGAATGCGATCTGGTGCGTCAGTAGTGCGTCATGAGTACATCCCTTGTGCGTCAAGATTGCATTCCTGGTGCGTCATGAGTGCGTCAAGGGTGCGTCGAGTGCAACTTTGGTACGTCAAGGGTGCGTCATCGACGCGTTAAGAGTGAGTCATCGGTGCGTCACAAGTGCGTCATCATGATCAAGGTCCAGCAAATTAATTTTATATAAATATTGAGGTAACTTACCGAGAACAGCAAGAGTGATATCTCCTTCGAGGATGGTCGTGTCGTTCCTCGCTCGACAGGAATATCGTCCAGCATCCGACGCTCTCACCTTCTGCGCGTAAATCGTCTGGTTCGCGCTTTCTGGATACAGGATGAAGTGACTGTCGCCACCTGGCCAAGGATAAGGCCTGTTATCCTTGTACCTGCAACACAAAGACCAATACAATTAGTAATTTATCATACAAATTGGCGACTTCTTAAATGTATCATTAGAATATGGACTGAAAATCTTGCACCGAATTTCGCTTTCGAAGGACGTGTTTGGAGTTCGATGGAAAATGATCGTTTAGGGGGAAAATCGTGTTGGAGGGTTTATTTTCAGTATGTGGAGTGCGATGTAGATTGGTTTTGGACTTCAGAAGAGTAAACTTGATAGTGCAAGTTTGTGAATTTGGAAATTTCTAATCTTTAACTATTATTTCATATTAGGTATTATTTGATATTTCTAGGTTCCTAAATTTTTGCAACTTTAAATCCCTAAATTTCCACATATGGAAGTTGCAGAGTCCCAAGGACACCTGGTACCTATGTCCCTGAATTCTCATGTCCCCATATTTCTACGTTACCTACTATTTAAATTTACGGATCCCTATGTCCCTTTTGTACGTTCCCAAATTTCTACGTTTGGACACCCTTAGGTTTGTGAACTCCTATGTCCCCAAATGTCCACATATGCAAATCCTCAGGTTTGTGAACTCCTAGTCCCAAAATTCCAACGTCCCTAATCCCTAGAGCCCCAAACTATTACCTCTAAAAATATCTACCTCTCCAACTTCCCACACCCTAAAATCCCTACACTCCTTAAAAATTCCTAGACCCAAAATTCCTACATCCCAACTATCCAACCCCATCAAATCTCCACATTTACACTTCCACTCCAACGTCCTCATAACCTTTCAAAACCTTCAAAATCCTAGTCAATTCAAAATCCTCCAAATATAATGAAAAGTCACCCATAAATCATGAAATCCATTTTCCCGAGAGGTCAGGTCTTTCTACCTCTGTCTCGTTCCGTATTCGTCATGTCCGCGTGTCCACCGCCTCCCTAGATTACAATTTATAGCCCGCGATCCGGTTGGGATTGAGATTTATCGCGCAGTTAAGACTTTCGTTTTGGACTAATCCACGAGGCGCCTTTTCGATCGATCGAGAATCGGATCGAGCGAAATTCGAGGATCAGCGATGATTTACGAGGGCGAGGATAAAAAATCGTGCACTTTGGTTTGATAGAAAATTATGGGCCGAGGACGAGGGAAAAAAGGTGATTGCCGGGGGTCAAACGAGGCGTTGGAACGGTGTTTATCGAATTTTCCGAACGGGTAAATAACGGTTTGGCACGCGATGAGGTTCGAGAAATAAATTCACTAAAAGTTGTCTATGTGGACTTTGTTTGGATTGAAGGACTTTATTTGGACATTCAGAAGTTCATTTAGAATTTCTAATGTGGACTGTATCTTACATATTTCACTTCAAACTAGTTTGAATGACATGTTCTATTCTTTCAGCTAAAATTTGCCTAGAGATGCAAATGCGACATATCGAGGGTCCTCCGCGAGTGACCCAAGCAATAGACACGAATAGAAAACTGCGAACAAATACTCCGCTGCTAAGGTTAGCTTCCGACCAGACGCGACTAACAATCAAAAAGTACTCGATAGAATGTAACGACTCCGAGGTCTCGTTGCTGCTGGGGTAAACAATTCGTTTGAAAGTTGGAACGAAAAAACGTAACTCGCTAGAAACTTGTACCATCTCGCTGTAATATGCGAGGACCAAACACGGATACAAATATTTCTATCGAATTTATCGGCGTTGTTCGATGACCCTCTTTCGAACCTGGCTGACGCGTTCCATATGGATCACCGCGTTATTAAGAATTTGTTCGGGTAGTTGGAAATACTTGTATTAACCCGGTGTCCTACGGTCACTCGTCACGCACACATATGTGGACTCGTGTTCTCATCGCAGTTGAATTTTGCGTTCCAACTACAGCATCGTAAAACCCTAACTTTGAACTTTCTTTACTCAACATCGTAATTGATTGGAAAATTGTAAGTTGAGTAAAGAATTAAGACTCCCTAGAAACTTGTCAGAGTTTATAATCTGCCTCGATATTTTAACGCCTTAAGTATCCCGTTCCAGGAAGCCATGTGCCTCCTCGTTTTCAGGTGAAGCGATTAAATCCCGGTCGCGGGTTTTCGCGATTCCCGACAACGATTTCTTCTCCGCGAACGAGAACGGAGCTCGTTTTTCCGGCAAACGAGTGGAAATTGCGAATCGAAATTACGCGTGTTGAGTACGGGGCGTTCCCGTGGGACGAATAGCCAAGGGAACGCGAGAAACGTGCCGCGATGCTGTGAACAGCGAGGAAGGACATCGTATCGTACTGGCAGAGCCAGCGCTCGATCATTTCCATAATCAGAGCGTAAATCGTGGCGATAACGATGGGGTCCGATCGATCTAAGGAAGCACCCGGTGCTTCCGTACCGTGTAATTCCGCGATATCCTAGCGAAAAATCGCGTCCCGTAATATCGTGGACGCACGCGAGTTCTGGACAATTTACAACTATGTTCGCGGCTTCTTTACGAGCCGACGTTCGACTAACTTCCTTTCGGGTATTTGGATGTTTCAGCATTTGCTGTTTTATGATGCAGGCTTTTCTGAGTTTGAAATTTAGGGTTTCGCAAGAAGGGTAATATAGGCATTTGGAAACTTAGAAATTTAGAGATGTAGGAACTGAGATGTTAGCAAATTGGAAATTCGAAGATTCAGGGACCTAAAGCTGTTATTTGAGGATCCGAGGGTTTCGGAATTCAGGGATTCGATAGCTCGGTAATTTGATCAGACACTTCAGCTGCCGCGTCACATATAGATGATGCTTAAACAAATCCCCAACCCACATTCTTTATTTACACAACTGAAAATACTCGCATCACTTGCAATTACAAATAACGATCGCAGTAAACATCGCAGAAATATTACCAATTAAAAACAAAAATTATTAAAAATACTATCCAACAAAAAGTTCGACTAATTCTCAATTCACTAACCCACGTTAAAGATCAATATTAAAGTAACATCTCTAACGAGAGAACCATCCATCAAATCAAAGGCCCCCAAAAAAAGCAGTCGTTCGAAATATTTGAATGCGTTTATGCGGGGTTGCCCACGCTCTGGACAAATCAATTTTCCAGGCCGGCGCGTTCGGTCGCACGGTTTCCAAGAACAACGAGCATAGCGTCATCGGAGTTGGCGTCAAACAGGCTTTCCAGGAAAATTAACTGAACGATTCTGGTCCGAAAACGAACGTAATATCGGTTAACGAGCGGTCGGTCGGAAAATATAGATCGCGGGGCTACGTTTGCGGAGATAATTGATCCTGCAGATTCCGAGAAACGATCGGCGATCATTGGTTATCGACGAGCTTACGTCTGCAGGTCCGCGAGAAAATTCGTGCTCGTCTATTCGCACGAACGTATGCTCCATTATGTCGTTAACGCGTCGCTTGGTCCAATAAAGGAGTATCGTGTTGGACACGAAGTACCGATGTCGACCGATGAGTTGGATGCAGGTAGAGCTGTTGGAGTTTCGTTTCATTTTTAAGAAATTTTGTTGTTAATTCTTTAGCTGATTAGTGGATTGATATTTTATCGATTAAAAGGAGTTCAAGCACTCTGTAATGTGGGATCTGACTGGCGACGCACTTGTGATGCACCGATGACGCACTCAACGCACCCATGACGCACTCAACGCACCCATGACGCACTCAACGCATCCCTAACGCACCCATGACACATTCAAAGCATTTTTGACGCACTCAACGCATTCTCGACACACCCATGACGCTTTCAATACATTCTTGACGCACCCATGACGCACTCAACGCATTCTTTACGCACCCATGACGCACTCAACGCATTCTTGACGCACCCATGACGCATTCAATACATTCTTGACGCACTCATGACGCACTCCACGCATTCTTGACGCACCCATGACGCATTCAATACATTCTTGACGCACTCATGACGCACTCAACGCATTCTTTACGCACCTATGACGCACTCAACGCATCCCTGACGCACCCGCAATAGACCTGGGACGCACCCATGACGCACCATTGGATTACTCGTGACGCACCGATGACGCACTCAACGCATACTCAACGCACCCATGACGCACTCCTAATGCATTCGTGACGCACCGATAAAGCAATACAGGCTTAGTCGTGACGCACCAATGACGCACTCAACGCATTCACGACGCACCTATGACGCACTCGTAATGCATTCGGGACGTACCCACGACGCACTCTTAATGCATTCGTGACGCACTACGACACACTCCTAATGCATTCGTGACGCACCAATGACGCACTCATAACGCATTCGTAACGCACTCAGGTCTGACACAGGTACGACTTTGATTCGATTTTCAAAAAATTTTGTTAATAATAAATTGACTTATTCCGCGAAAGACACAAAGTTACGCTAGCAAAGATTTGCTGTTCGATAAGAGTTTAGTAGTTTAGGTATTGATCATGGATATCGAGATCTGGGTATAGGTATTGATGTACAGGAATTTAGAGATCTACAAATCTAAGAATATGGACATCTAACGCTATAGACATGTAGAAATTTCGGAATCTAGGGATTTAGCTACCGGTGTCGTAACATCGATCCTCCGAAATCGCTCCTCCGTTTATATGGCCGGGACCCAAGCGACGACCATCCACACGAGTTGTACCGTGAGTCGGCGAGTGCCAGGTGTTCGGACGGCTCCGATCGGAATAGAAAAATGCTCAGATTTTCGCCGGTATCGGCACGATCGAGCGAAAGAACAAGACAGTGAAACGTTTCGAGTAGCGAACGTCGGAACGCGACATGGGACTGTTCTACGGTGGCGTCCCTTAAACCTGGCTCCTACGCGCCAGGAACAGGGTTGTCTACGGTACATACCGTAGTCGCGGCAGGAATTGGCGCGAGGCTGAGCCAGGTTTGGAAGGACCCAATTGGTTGGAAGAGAAATGTCTAGACTCGCACGTATTTTCGGTATTGGCTCGAATTAGGCGAAAATGACGGGCAAACGATGGCGCGAATTACTTGTTGTCATTATTCTTATTTGCCGAAATGTAAGTGGAAG